CATTCTGGTCATTCCACCATATCGGTCACGTAGGCCTTTATTATATAGATTCGATGGTTTTGGGGGGGTTGGGCTCTAGCACAAACATGAATGGAATTTTATGGTGCATATTCTTCTGTGTCCGCTTCTTTTGCTCAGCATAATGTTTGCTAATGTCATGCTGTGACATTATCAGAAGTTTCCTTTTTACTGCTTGGTAGTATTTCATTGTATACTTATTGACAGAAATTTGAGCTATTGCCATGTTTGATCTCTAATGATTAGGCCGTAGGGGTGTCAAACTCAATCAGAGAAGGGGCCAAAATCTAAAATCCAGCCTAAATCGCGGGCCGAATGGTTTACTGAACAGTCATAAACTGTCATTGTGATGGAAACGCAGCAGAGTGCAGTGATGACAGCGCGGTGCGGGCCACATTGCAAGGCCTGGTGGGACGGATTTGGCCCGCGGGCCTTGTGTTTGACACATGTGGATTAGGGCATAAATTATTTGTAATGCAAGTTTTTACTTAATAATGAGGGGTGCAATTTCTGGGTTATAGAATAAGTGTATGTTTAAGTTAACCAGAAACTGCTGAACTTTTTCCAAAGTGCCTGTATCATTATAAATTCCTACTAACAATTTACGCTAAGTTCCTGCTGCTCTATATTCTCATCTACACTTCATATTGTCAGTCTTTTCTATTTTAACCATTCCTGAGGGCTAAATGTTATTTACAGTTTATCTATCCAAATCTCTTTACCAATGTTGTAAATTGAGTTGTCTGCTTTCTTATTAGTGGTTTACAGAGGTCCTTTATATTCACTGGATAAAAGTCCTTTGTCAGATATATGAATTGCAAGTATCTCCTTCCAATTAGTAGTGTATCTTTTCTTTTTCTTAACAGTGTCTTATTTTTTTTAAATATATTTTATTGATTTTGTACAGAGAGGAAGGGAGAGAGATAGAGAATCAGAAACATCAATGCAGGCGTCTTCAAACTACGGCCCTCGGGCCACATGCGGCCCGCAGAGGAGTCTGATCCGGCCCGCCAGGTTTGTTGGGCAGTGAGCGCAGCCGAGGTGTTACAGTAGGAATTAGTAGTTCATATAGTCCGGCCCTCCAGCTCTCTGAGGGACCGTGATCTGGCCCCCACTTTAAAAAGTTTGAGGACCCCTGGGTTAAGGAGAGTCATCAATCAGCTGCCTCTTGCACAACCCCCAATGGGGATATGCCTGCAACCAAGGTACATGCCCTTGACCGGAATCGAACCCGGGCCCTTTCAGTCCCAAGCCGACGCTCTATCCATTGAGCCAAACCGGTTTCGGCAACAGTGTCTTAATTTTTAAGTTTAATTTAACATTAAAAAAAAAACTTATTGTTGGGGGTGGGAGCGGCCGGGGAGAGGTCAATGGGAGAAAAAGAAGACTCATGTCATACTTTAAACAATAAAGAATTTGAATTTAAAACAAACAAACCAACAAAAAAGTACTGTTAGCGCCTTTTGTATCAAGAATAAGACTGAATATTTTCTCCTTCAGAGTGGGCACAAAATGAGGATGTATGCTTATCACTTCTATCCAAACACAGAATTTGAGGTCCTAGACAGTGCAATAAGGAAAGAAAGGAACAAAACAAAAAAAAAGAGAAGAGAAAGAGGAAGGAGAGAAAAGGATGTAAAGAGAGAGGGAGAGAAGGAGAAAGGGAGGGAAAAAGAGTGAAAGAAAGAAGATAAGGAAGGTACTGTACAGGTATACTGAATGAAAAGGAAGAAGTAAAACTGTCTTTTCAATGATTATAGGTGTTGTAGGAAAATTCTAAAACCCTAAGCAAAATAATAAGCAGAATAACAGAATAAGTGAATTTAAAATGGCTACAAGATATAAAGATATATGCAAATCCAACTGTATTTCTACATATTAGCAAGGAACAAGTGGAAAAAGATTTTTACTTCCTTTTATAATAAAATCAAAATATACAAAATAAAGATATAAACTTGACAAAAATATGCGCATGGCGTGAATACTACAAAACTAAAAAAAAAAAATGTTCAAGAAATCAGAGCCCTGGCTGGGATGCCCATTGGTTTAGGGGTGTCGAACTCAATCAGAGAAGGGGCCAAAATCTAAAATCCAGCCTAAATCGCGGGCCGAATGGTTTACTGAACAGTCATAAACTGTCATTGTGATGGAAACGCAGCGGAGTGCAGTGATGACAGCGCAGTGCGGGCCACATTGCAAGGCCTGGCGGGACGGATTTGGCCCGCAGGCCTTGTGTTTGACACATGTGGGTTAGAGCATCATCCTGTTCATCAAAAAGGTTTCAGGGCACATGCCTAGGCTGCGGGATCAATCCCCAGACAGGACACGTGCAGGAGGCAACCAAACAATGTTTCCCTCCCTCCCTCCCTCCCTCCCTCTCTCTCTCTCTCCCTCCCTCCCTCCCTCTCTCCCTCTCTCTCTATCTCTCTCCCTCCCTCCCTTTCTCTCGCTCTCGCTCTCGCTCTCGCTCTCTTCCTATGAATAAAGATGAATAAAGATGTCCTCAGCTAAGGGTTAAAAAAAAAAGAAATTGGAGAAATATACATACCTCATTCATGGATTCAAAGGTTTGATATTAATTTCCCACAAACTGATCTAGTGACTCAAGGCAATCCCAATTCAAATCCCAAGAAGTTTTTGAAACTAAAAAGCTAATTTTAAAATATTTATTAAATGCACAGAACCTTTGAAAGTAATGAACAAAGTTGGAGGATTTATACCAACCAATTTCAAACCATACATAAAGCTACAGTAAGAAAGACAGTATGGTATGACATATGGAGAGACATACAAATCTGTAGGAGACGGAATCTAAAAACAGACCCACACAAATATCATGAGTAGATTTCCAACAAAAATATCAAGGCAATTCTATAGCCAAACGATAAGAGAATCAAAAGGGAAGGATAATCTTCAGCAAATGCCATAAAAAATATTGTGCATTCAAAAAGGAAAATAATGAACCTAGACTAGGGGTGTCGAACTCAATCAGAGAAGGGGCCAAAATCTAAAATCCAGCCTAAATCGCGGGCCGAATGGTTTACTGAACAGTCATAAACTGTCATTGTGATGGAAACGCAGCGGAGTGCAGTGATGACAGCGCGGTGCGGGCCACATTGCAAGGCCTGGTGGGACGGATTTGGCCCGCGGGCTTTGTGTTTGACACATGTGACCTAGACCATACCCCCCACCACATACCCTAGCAACCCCTAAAAATAGGTCACAGGCCTAACTATAATAACTAAAGCCATAAAACTTCTAAGAGAAAATTTCTGTGGTCTGATTTTTTAAAATAGTATTTCAGGTATTTCTGTATGTTAATTTTTGTAATTAATAAATATATACCTTTTGCATTTTGAAAAAGGCAAGTACCCCAATAAAATAAAGGACCAAGAATCCTTTCAAACTTTTAAAGCATGTCTTCATGTTTAAAATCAAATTTCACAACTCACTGTGAGTCCCTTATCCATATACCATAGTCATACACTCTTTCTTCAATTGACATACAGAAATATTCAGAGGAAAAGAACAAAAACCTTAACTTCCAATAAGAAGAGGTTACCTCCTAGGGCACTGGCCGGCAAACTGTGGCTCTTTGGCCCCTTGCGTGTGGCTCTTCCACAAAATACCCCGGCCTGGGCAAGTCTATTTTGAAGAAGTAGCATTAGAAGAAGTTTAAGTTAAAAAGATTTGGCTCTCAAAAGAAATTTCAATCATTATACTGCTGGTATTTGGCTCTGTTGACTAATGAGCTTGCCCACCACTATCTAGGGAACTGCAGTTTTTCCTCAGTGATTATGTTTTGGGTGCCTTTGCTAATAACATCATAAATAATCAAATCTGCCTAAGATATAATACCATCTATAATTTTAAATATAAAACAGCTACCAGATCCACTTTAAATATAAAACAGCTACCAAATCATGACAATATGAAAAACGGAATGTACTGCCAAATGTCTAGCAATGGCCTGTCCTGGTTGAGATTCATAATGCATCACAGAGATCACAACTTTTAAAAATGAAAACAAATTTAAACTATTCTAAACATAATGCTCAGCCCAATAATTTAGAGGATACTTCCAGAAACATATTATTACCTACTAGTCATAAACTGTGTTTAACAAAATAATGGATCAGAGTCAATTCTAGTTTCACACAACACCAAAATTTAAAACAATACATAATGCATTGTTTCCACCCATGTATTATATATTATGATAACAAATTACCCCAAAACTCTGGTTTAAAACAATGAACATTTATTATCGCACAGTTCTACTATCTCAATAACTCCTGCAAATAGTCTTCCACTTCCATTTCGTGCCTGAGCAACCAAACCAGCAATGAGGCAGGGGGTCTCCCAAATACTCCCCATGGGACTGGAGGCAAGAAAACACGGAAAGAGAAAAATCTTCATTGGAGAATGTGGGGCCTTTTCCCAGTGTATATGAGAAATACATGAACTGTCTAACTGCAGGACAGTCTAACAAAATCAAAGGAAAAGTGAAACTGCACCTAGGCCAAGGATTTAGCTTCCGAATCCCATCCAACTAGCAAAAACACAAAACCTTTCCTCAACTCTAACGGCTCTTCTCACTCTGTGTTCTGAGGCAGATAAAGGTTTCTTTTTTATCATTTTACAAACTGGGTCTCCAAATAAGGTTTTAAGAAAGAAGGTTCCGTTGCCTTTGTATTTACACATACAGAGGCTAATCCCCATGAAAACTAAATTTAAAATAAAAGTAGGGAGTTCCATAAGCCTTCCCTTTCCGCGATGGAGCTGGAGGCAGGTGTGGGCACAGCCATTCACTCCAGATTAGGGGGGAACGCAGAGCGTTCCTTAAGGCACACAAAACCAGTAACATAAACCATTGTGACTTTAAGTTTTCACCAAAAACTTCATCCACGTGAACAAGAATCAAAACACTGTCGGATGGAAGATTTGGAGAGAAATGAGAGGTAACAATGAAAAGGATCAACCTGTGCTTTCCCTCGGCAGCTTCCTGCGTGTGGTCTCCGGAGATCACTCACGTCGGGGGAGCTCGCCGTCCGGACCTTCATGTTACGGGTCAGGGAAGCTCATCCCGGGGCGAGGGCTGGCTTGTCCCGGGTCTCGGGACCTTCCGGGCTTCCCCAGGGACTCGCCGCGGGCTGCCCACGGGGCCCTGGGCGCGCGACGGCCCTGCGCCCGGGCTGCCCGGCCCCAGCGCCGCCCGGAGCCCCGCCGGCCGAGGGCGCAGAAGCGGAGCCGCCCCGCCGGCCCACCTGTCGCCGACCTCACGGCGGCCACGCCCCCGGCGGAGGCTCCCGGCGCCCGGACGCAGCGGGGACGGCAGGTGCGCGCGGCGCGGGGCCCGCCGCGGGCGGCCGGCACGGTCACCTCGGGCGGGCGCTGCGCTCGCGGCCGGGTCGCCGGGGCCGCCGGGAACCAGCGGGAGACGCAGACGCCTCCAGGCCGAAGCTCCGGCCCCTCGGGCCTATTTACACGCCCGGCTGGAGGACGCCGGGGCCCGTCACGTGACGCGCGCATCACGTGCTCGGCCGGTAGGGCGGAGTGTTGCCGGGCAACGATGGCAGCTGGGGCGGCGAAGAGGTGCGGGGTTCCCCGCATGCTCCCCCCTCCCGGCGGCAGAGGCTAGCCGCTAGAGCACATGTGTCAAACACAAGGCCCGCGGGCCAAATCCGTCCTGCCAGGCCTTGCAATGTGGCCCGCACCGCGCTGTCTTCACTGCACTCCGCTGCGTTTCCATCACAATGACAGTTTATGACTGTTCAGTAAACCATTCGGCCCGCGATTTAGGCTGGATTTTAGATTTTGGCCCCTTCTCTGATTGAGTTCAACACCCCTACGCTAGAGCCTCGCCTGCGTTTGTCATTAGTGTTTGCGAAGGGGGGTTTGTCCCAGCAGCGGGATGTTGAACTTCGAGGAAAGAAATGGAAAACGTCCTGATCCAAAGCTACCAAGTGAGGGGAGAGCACAGAAATAAGCAGTAACTGTTTTGTGTGCCTTAAGGAACGCTCTGCGTTCCCCCCTAATCTGGAGTGAATGGCTGTGCCCACACCTGCCTCCAGCTCCATCGCGGAAAGGGAAGGCTTATGGAACTCCCAACTTTTATTTTAAATTTAGTTTTTATGGGAATTAGTCTTTGTATGTGTAAATACAGATATACCTAAAGTAAATATAATATTTCTCAGCTTTCGCCCATGTAAACTTATTAGTCTCTTTGTTTTTAGTGACTGTTTTTCCCAAGTTCAGTTTTCCTGGATCAAATTTTGAAAAGTTTCAGCCATTGCCATAATATTCATTACAAATTGCATAAAAGACCAAAAGTTTGTATTATTTCCCAGTAAGTACTTGAGCCAACACCCTTAGTATTCCAGAATTGTTCTTTTGTCCAGGAGTGATCTATGGGAGAGTCAAGTAAGTCCCTCCCCACAATTCTGGTCACTACATACTTAGCTGTCCAACAGCAAATTGACAGGGTCAAATTAGTGGTCTGCAAATACTCTCTAGATCAATACAATAAGTTCAAACATCCTCTGCATTTCTGTCACACACCTAGAATGCATTATTACAAAGAGTACAAAATATAGTGATGAATTTTCTCCATGCTCTTTTAATAATTTTTAAATATATTTTTATTGATTTCAGAGAGGAAGGGAGAGGGAGAGATAGAAACATCCTATATCCTATATAATAAAGAGGTAATATGTAAATCGACCATCACACCAACACACAAGATGGCCAGTCTCATGTGGTCAAAGATGGTCTCCATGTGGACATAAGATGGCCGCCACAAGATGGTCAGTAGTGGGCAATCAGGCCAGCAGTGGAGGGCAGTTGGGAGACCAGGTCTGCAAGGGAGGGCAGTTGGGGGCAATCAGGCCTTCAGGGGAGTGCAGTTAGGGGTGACTGGGCCAGCAGAGGAGGGCAGTCGTGGGGGGACCCAGGCCTGCAGGGGAGGGCAGTTGGGGTGAACAGGATGGCAGGGGAGGGCAGTTAGGGGGAATCGGGCTGGCAGTGGAGCAATTAGGCGTCAATCAGGCTGGCAAAGGAGTGGTTAGGGTATGATCAGGCTGGCAGGCAGAAGTGGTTAGGGGCAATCAGACAGACTGGCAGGCGAGTGGTTTGGATCCAGCATTCCTGGATTGTGAGAGGGACATCCCTTGAGGGGTCCCATATTGGAGAGGGTGCAGGCTGGGCTGCACAAATTTCGTTCACTTGGTCTCTTGTCAATGATAAGAGAAAATCATTGATCATCGGAGTCCTCCTGCACATCCCACACTGGGGATTGAGCCCACAACCCAAGCATGTGCCCTGACTGGGAAGCAAGCCATGACTTCCTGGTTCATAGGTCAACCCTCAACCACTGAGCCACACCACCACTGAGCCACACTGGCTGGGCTCTTCTTTTACTATTGAAAATAGGTTACAAGGCCAACTGCCACACTTGGTTGACTTTTTCCGCTGCTTTGGGCAGCAGATGTTCCATATGAAGGCGGGAGCAATATCTCTCATTGGCTAAACCATGTCTAGAAAACAAAAATGTTGATTGGTGGGTGTGGAATCCTGCCATCCTGTAAGCAGTGGCAGAGAACCTTCGTAGATCAGAGGAACCTGTGAGTTAGGCAGAACTCAAGGGGACAATGCAAAGGGGAGTCCCCAGCTCAGCCATTACTCGTAGGCAATTGACCCAACCTTTCTGAGCCTCTTTCTTCATTTATCTCCTGAATAGAGTAGGATGAAGTTGAAATAATACTGGTACAACACTTTAAAGTGCCCAACACAGGAATCAATAAATGTCAAATCTCTATGTGCAGCCTTTGGTAAGAGTCCCAAGGGAAAGGGAGCTGACAACTGGAACACGTCCCGGTCTTGGGATTGGATTCTTACCTGAACTGGAGTTGAGGATGGGATTGTCAGCAAGGAAACCAAGTGCCACTGGGAAGTCTTTGCGCTTCAAATGGAAGGCTGCCACAGAGGACTGCTCTTGGCGGTGAAGTGCTCACTTGTGGCAGCAGGTTAATTCCAAGTCCTGTATGTGGTGATGGGGACTCCTAATATATACCTGCCTCAGCCTACGTAGGAAACTGCCTGCCCTCTCCTAGAGAAAGCGGTCAGGCCTGAGCCAGGTGGACAGCGTTACCCCAAGAGCCCAGCAAACCTGACTGTCCGCCAAGTGCTTAAACATATCTAACCATTTCTAGTTTTTTACTTAGGGTTTCACTGTGAACAGCAAAATGCATTGCTGCGTCTGGTAAGATACACTGCAAATGTTTATGGCTCTCTAATGGCATTTCACCTAACAATATGCAAATCGACCAGACAGCAGGACAACTGGTCGCTATGCACACTGACCACAAGAGAGAAGATGCTCAGTGCAGGAGCTGCCCCCAGCCAGCAGGCCCTGATTACCCGATGGGGAATGGGAAACCAGGGGTGGGTGGGTGGATGCAGGCAGCGCCAGGCCAAGGCAGATGTGAGTGGGGCAGTTGGAGCCCTCACACACAGAGGCAACTGGCATCGGCGGTGGGGGCCTTTGATCGCAGGCCAGGCCTAGGGACCCTTCCTATGTTTGAATTTCGAGAGCTGGGACTCTAGAAGAGATATAAACTGATTGGTCAGTGGTATTTAGACAAGATCGGGCGCGTTCAGGGTGGTATGGCCGTAGACTGGTCAGTGGTATTTAAAGCCACAGGATTGAGTGAGTTACCCAGAGCAGAAATTGTCATACTTTCTGCCCTCAACCCAGGATTAAAAATACATTTTTACATACTGACCAAATATATGTACTGTACCTATCTTAAAAGTTTCAAGTAAATTTAGCCCTAGCCAGTTTGGCTCAATGGATAGAGCATCAGCCTGTAGATTGAAGGGTCTTGGGTTCAATTCTGGTCAAAGGCATCTACCTTGGTTGCAGACTCAATCCTACCTGGGTTGCAGGCTCGATCCCTGGTCCTGGTCCAGCGTGCATGAAGTAGGCAACCAATCAATGTCTCTCTCTCTCACACACACATCGATGTTTCTCTCTATGTGTCTCTCCCCCTCCCACTCTCTCTAAAAATCAATGGAAAAAAGATCTTCAGGTGAGGATTAACAACAATGAAAAGAAGCGAAGTTAGCCTTCCTGTATGTAATGTACTATTTCCTTTCTCTTCTACTTTATTCTTTTCTACTTATTAAAACTTTCACTCCCAAATCCACTGATCTTTTTAACTAAGTAACAGCTGTGGCCTGCAGTTGGAAAATATCTGAAAGTCGCTGACTTAGGACAGAAAAAAAAAAAAATCCAAAGGCTAGGCATGAGGCACTTTAGATATATCTAAAGAAGACTAGCAAAGGAAACTTAGTAGGAGCAACCAGAGGTAAGAGGATAAACAAAACAGAATCATAAAGGCTAAGTGAAGAAAATGTTTCAAAAGAAGGCAGCATCTAAGTATGTCAGAACACAGAGATTAAGATAAACTATAGGAATACAAATCTGATTGTAGAGATAAATGGTAACAAATCATTTTTTTTTATTTTTTTATTTTTTTTTTTTTTGCTATAAAGAGGAGCTGGGGAATGGGGCAAAAGCAAACAAGAGACTGAAGGTTAGGTTTTCTGTTTAAATATTTATGCACTAATAGAAAACCCAGTAATGAGAAAATATTGATGCAGCAGTGTGTGAAAACTGTAGGAAGAAAATCTTGAGTCTGGAGGGATCCCCCACAGAGAGGTGGAGGAGGGAGTGGGCAGGCACAGATACAGAGAGCTTGGTAGGGTTGTTGTTAAATACATGTGCAATTTCTTTTCCAATTGGTCATAGTTTAATCATATAAGCAGCTGAGAGTGAGGAGAGGGAGGGGGTGCTGGTGGCTTAAGGAGATAAAATAAAGGATGACAGTCTTCTGAGAGAGTGCTACATCCGGCCCCAGCCCCATGATTTCCCCCATGGGTGATGGCTGGATCTTTCTGTCTCCTGACCTCCATCCTTGCCTTCTATAGTCTTTTTTTCTGTATGAGTGATTTTTCAACATGTAAGTCCAATTACGTAACTCCCCAGTATTTCCCAAGTCAGAATAAAATCCAAAGTTCTTGCCTATAAAGTCCTCTATGATGGAGCCCTTATTTCTTATTATCCTCTTCCCTTGCTTTGCTCCAGCCACCTTGCTATGTCTTGGTTTCATTAGGCTTAGAATACTTTTCCCCAATTTTTCATTTCCTTGGGACTTTACTTGAATGTAACTTTCTCAGAAATGCCCTTTCTAAAACAGCAGTCCTATCTGTGTCACCCTACTCTGCTTGGATTTTGTTCTATACCAAGAGACAAAGAAGGATACGGTATCTTATAATAAAGGGATTAATCCAACAAGAGTATATAACCCTTGT